AAATATAGTTAAAGTAGGACTCTCATTAAAACTAAACAACAAATAAGAAATGGCCAATGCGAGTCTATGGCAGGATGTAGAGCCTTTCCTGGTAATTTTTTTGATTAAACTGTGAATTCATATACCGTTTCGCGCAGGACAAACGTGGGAAAAGAATGTAAGAAATTCTACAAAAAGCGTTATAAAAAGCAGCATGAAAATGCTAGAATTAGAACGCTTTCGTTAATTTTTGTAATATTCTACAAGTAAGCAGATATCTTAATTCTGTAAGATTTTGTTGTTTCTCAAATTTTTCAAACTAGCAAAGTTTTGTACTAATTTTTAAAAATTGTACATTTTCATGAAATGCTACTTGCAATAATTTCTTGCTTCGAGAACATTGTAATTTGTGGTAGTATGTCGTAGACATTTTTACAAAAAAAATTAACGTCTCAACGAAGATATAAAAATTTCTACAAATTTCTATTTCAAGTCAATTTTTTGTAGTTATTTATAGAATCTTTTTCCGCTAGGGTACTTTTATGATATTTTTAGAACTTTCTTAGAACCTACGCGTGCTGTGTGGGGCGAAACGTGGTTACGAATACATTCGGCGAGTATTCTAAAATTGAACACATTTCGGTCTTGGATAGGCACTCGTCGCATCGATTTTCCAGAGTGTGACACGAGTAACGCGATGAACATCGATGCAGCCGCGACGCGACATCACGACCGGCACGGTCTGTATTTTTCCGATAATTATCTCGGCGAACCTGAGCGGACGTAGATTGGCATAAGCTAACATAGCTTACGCTAATTTGGTGCGCGCGTGCACGATAAGACACGATAACGCGTACAGGCGACGTGTACAGCGATAAGGCTAATATATTACATTTTGACGCACGAGAAATTTTTCCAAGCACGTTGATTAGCTGCGGAATAGTAAAGTTCTCGAGTATCCAGAAATTATCTATTCCGCAGCCAATCGACAAGCTTGAAAAATTTGTCGCGCGACAAATGTAATAGCCTGACGCTGATAACGATTGCAATTAAAACACGATCGACTGTCATTGTTTGACTAGAAGCAACGGGAACACGCACACTCTCTTCCACCCGTCGTCAAGAGGGAAAAGGGGAAAAAGTCTACGATTTCGTATCACGATGAACGGTCCGTGGACGATTCTATTTACGACATTTGTCTTTACAGTCGTGAGGATCGGAGGCAAGTCGAACGATCGGCCGATCATCGGTGAGTCTTACCCAAAGGAATTGGCGAGTCCGCGCAAATCGGCCGCGCGTCGCGGCGTACTTTTGCTCCCGCCCTGAAAAAGGAGAGGTTAGGTTTCGCCGAGAGACGAGCGTGCTCGATCCCTTTCCTTCCCGCGGCAAGAACTCGATGAGCTCGATCCCCTGTGCGAGAATCCTTTCGTCTGTTTTTCTCTTCACGCATTAGGAATAATCGGTCGAGACGCTCCACATTTGCAAATCGCGGCTGCTCGCAGCGTGATCTCTTGCGTTCTGAAACTCGTCGAGAAGAGCGCGACAGCTTTTCGTTCACGGCCAGCCGGCAATCTCGTCTGCGTGCGTAAGTTTAAGATCTGCGAAATATTCGAATTCAAATCGAGTCGGACAATTCGGGGTCGAGTTTAAATTTCTATAAATCGAATCTGAATTATTCGAAAATTTCGAATCGAAATGATTCGAGGATGAATCGTATAGAGGAAAGTCCCTTATTATAGACAGGATCCTAATATGGGATAACGGGGTTTCTGTTCAATTAATGGGCATCGTCAGTTGATTCCACCGTGACTTTATTGCCCTTGAAGCGAGATCCGTTTAGTGAAAAATTCATTGTTAGATTGTGTAATCGTTGCGAAAAAAGATTTGCGATTGAATTTCGATGCTGACAACCTGCCATCTCATATTAGAAATTTATCTTATAATAGCGGACTTTTCTCTGCGTATTGTCAATTTAGTTGCTGCGACAAATAAAGTATATTTTATTAGTTTTATACGAAACATTTAAATACAATTTTTTTCTTAAACAAATTTAACCTTTTGTGCGACATTTTGAATTATTCTAATAATTTTATAATAAAAATATATTATAATAATTAAAAATTATTTTCAAAACAAACAATTCACTTTTTCACAAGGCTCCACTTTCGCGGCAATGTTTTTAAATATAAAAATATCATATCTACGTAAGATAAGTGCAGCAAAACAGTTTTGTTCGAAGGTACTTGGTTGGTTGAAAACATTAAATTTTTACAGTAAAAGAATTGAGAACAAAAGTCAATTTTCACCGAGTATTCGAGTATGCATCTTTTGAAGATTGGCCGTCTTTCGCGCTGACGCTTCGGACAGAAATAATACTGTGCCTCGTTTGTTCCTTCAAGGTATTCTGACGCAGGAGATAAGTTATGGTTTAAATAAGAAGTATCCCAATCAGTATCACAGCTACATCGCTGCGTCGTACGTGAAGTTCGTGGAGGGTGCCGGCGCTCGACCCGTCCCGATTTGGTAATGACCAACATTTCTGCCATTATACTCGATCATCGATTTGCAACTTAAATGCTCGTGCAATATAACTTTTTGAAAAAACAATCAACTTCTCTGCAATATAATTATTTATTTTATAGTACGAGATATGTGTTACGAGTTAATCGAATGACGAATAGGATCCCTAGTAGCATAATACATTGGCGCAATGTTGGGATGTAATGTAAATCCAATATTCCCAATGTTGATCCAATAATGTGAGATGGACGCCTTTTCTTATCTAGCCAATATGTCCATTGATGCAACATTAGACCAATATTGTTATTACATTGTTAAATATTGGCCAATGCACTTCCACTATAAATCTAGTATTATATAATTATTATCGTGCAATGTTTACATTTATTTCATGGCCAATATTACGTTGGACAATAGCGGCCAGTACATTTCTTGCATCGCAAATGCATTTTTAATATAACCAACAGTGGACCAATATTTAGCCAATGCACTGTGCTGCTAGGGAGAATTTAACGACCTTCGAAATTAAGAAAGTAATGCTTATCTAGAGTCTTTGGCGTTTTACGAGGGGTAAGCCGCTGAGGGCATTGTGGTGTACAAATTTGCGACATTAATGTGTATTAGCTTGGGCATTAGGCCTTGCTGAGGCATTATAAAGATAAAATAAGATAAGACACAGCAATGCCCACTAGGGCATTAGTAGGCGTGTATGTACATGATGTTGGTCAGCGGTTTACCCCTTTCTTATAAACATTTCTTATATTTCTTACGTACAAATAATCGTAGAAGGTATCTCGGTTCAAATTAACAGAATTTATAGACGTAGAAGATGCCTCGGTATCATTAGATTTAGTTACTATTTTAATTCATATATGCATGAATCAAAACATGTAATTTTGTACAGGATCGGCGGGAACGATTCGTACTACGAGGATATCTTAAGCAAAGTCAACGGGTACGCAGTGTTCGATCACTTTTAAAACGTTACGCACGTATAATCGCCTTCTAAACGCAATATTTTTCTAGAGTCCTCTGGCCGGGAGGTTCGACGTTTTTCTTTTCAAAGGAAGGGTACGCCGATGCGGGCGTCGCGATTTACAGGTCACTACGGAATAAAAGACAATTGCGACGCGCTCAGAGCCGCTCCGATGATTCGAATGTACATCTTTCTGTCTGTTTGTTGATAGAATCGCGAAGGAGATCAACGCGAGAGGCGTGTACTTCCCGATATTTGGTATCTGCCTCGGCTTCGAGCTCTTGACGTATGTCGCAGCGAATCGCGTCGAGCACAGAACAAGTTGCTCCAGCAGCAATCAGCCTCTTCCGCTGGAACTCACACGCGGTGAATACTTTTTTTCAAGGTGTACCAGAAACGTGTTCTCTTCCGTTTTATTTGCTTTTCCAATTTTCATTATTCTCCCTGTTACTTTTATCTTTGCATAAAATGTCCGTCAATTCTTCCTGGATTACAATGTTGCATTTTTAACTCAAGACTGGCTTCCTCGCGCGGTTCCGTTTACTCAAAAAAATAAAAACTTTTTTCCAGACTTTAGAAAAAGTAATTTATTTAAGAACGCTCCGCCGGATGTTTTGACAATTCTGACCACGAAGAACGTCACGGCGAATTATCATCGCTTCTGCGTTACGAGGGAGGCAAGTGTCTTCCTTAGAAACAATTAGTTGAGAAAGTCCAAATTGTGTAATACAACAAGTTACTAATTCTATAAAGTACCAATATAATATTACATCGACTATAATGATCATTGTGCTTGTATCGTTTTCTGCTTCAGAATTTGCACCGTGTGAATTTAACCGACGAATTTCACGTGTTGTCGCTGAATCGCGATAAGAATGGCCTGGAGTTCATCTCCACGTTGGAGCACAAGCAGTTCCCGTTCTACGGATTGCAGTTCCATCCGGAGAAGAACCTGTACGAATGGGTGACCGGGAAGAACATTCCTCACGGGGCTAATGCTACCATACCATCGCAGTATTTCGCCAATTTCTTCGTGAACGAGGGTAAGTAACAATCGGACTTGCCGAGTTTCGTCTCGCACGGAGAAGAGATGGAATTAATTTTCTTTGCGCAGCTCGTAAGAACTCGAACGAATTTACGACGAGACAGGAGGAGATGCAGAGTCTGATCTACAACTATCCCGTCACTTACACAGCCCTGCAGAATTCGTCTTTCCAGCAGTGTTACATGTTTAAGAAAAGCGATCGCAATGGCCTCCTTATAGAAAATGATGTGTAGGGTTTAACGTAAGTTTTATTCTTAAGGTAGGAAACAACACACACGTCGCACCTTTTTCCATGTACAAATATATCCATTGTCTTGTACAAAAAAAAACGATCGGACTTCTACTCGCATGGACACATGACGAACCAAGACCACAGGGTTTGTTAATCTTATCGGAATATCGAGTGTCGTTAGTACGATGAGACAAGCACTGGGGAACACACAAACAAAAGAAGATTGATACGCGTAATTTCCACATTTAACATAACACCAGTGTATATTGTGTCACAACTGGGATACATAATATTACAATGGTGCATAATAAAATTCTATACATATTTTTGTTCTATCTAAAGTAAATAATATTTTTTTTTGAATCTTTTTTCCTTCACCACGTTTATCTCGCTCTGAGCCGAAGCGCCCGGCTGTTAACTACGTTCGTACTACGTTGCGGACACGTGTTGTTGCACCGCGACTTTCCAGGTGCAACGTAATGTCGCGCAGGACGACGATGCCCGGTATCCGTGCGAACGCGCGAACCCGCTTCGACCCAAAACGTCGAACGTTTGGATCCTGACTGCCTGCCGTTAATCTTCATCTTTATCTTTAAACAAGCACGAAACTAAATCTCTTAAAAGCATGAATCAACTCTTAGTTTTTATCCTCGTAACGTATGATAGTATCATTATTAATAATCATAATAATTCATATAAACATTATTTCTATTTATTCCTTGTTACATTTTCTTCTTAGCAATGTTGTCGCGCGGGATGCATAGGTCAATTGCAGAGGAATTGTTCCTTTTTTCTTCCATCCTTCTCTCTCTCTCTCTCTCTCTCTCTTTACGTGTGTATCTCGTTGGAGGTATGTTCCCTCTCATCCGAAGAAAAAAAATGGGTCTGGTCGCTTCTCCCCCCGGCGATTGCCTCACTTGTGTATGTTACAGAGTATATATACATAATGTATATAAGCACGAGAGCAGTATATATATTATACATATATATTTGTCCATCCCATGTATAAGTGTATAAGTTCGCGATGATCCTCTCTCTTTATCTATGCTTACCTATTATCGTCCTCACCTGTCCTTTTTTTTTTTTCCCGAGAATATAACAAAGGTCTACGCATAATGTAGGTAAATTCCGCACGGTATTTCATATATAAGATGACCCTGCAGTACACTCAAGTTTTTCCACTGTTTCGTTACTTTAAATAGTACATGTGATACCTAACTGTACTTCTCAATATGCTTATAGTATATTATATATTCATTATATATATATTTATATATATATCTAGATCTTCTACCGACTTGCGGACAACTTTCGTCGCATGCGGGTCACGCGTGACGCACAAACGCGCGTTAATAAATTTGTCGTCATCTTTATATAATGCCTATTTGATAGGTACTATTAATATTATACATAATTATATATTTAACGCAAACGCGACGGCGCGATGATCGATCGCGGACGCGAGTTTTAACCCCGTTCTTACATTGTTTCACAGGTCCGAAACTCGAAGCCCGACTGAAGGTTCACACGGGAATACGCGCTCAATCGTCCACCGCGCTGCCGCACTTATTTATCTCTCTTTACCTTTATCTTAATGGTAAATATGAAATACATGGCCTTACAGGATGATCGCTACAGTGATAGTGTTCCTCCTTTCTCGGGATAGATGGTACAAAAAGATAATTAATAATTAATAATTAAATTTAATGACGAACTTAAAACGCGAATGTCTGTCCACGGTAACGCGTGAAACTTGACTCACACATACATACATCAGTTTACTATCTGTTAGTCTGTACGTTTACCGGATCCGGTATCAGTGGTATTCGTTTGCAGTTGTTTCTGCCTCCTTAAACAAAATGCGGCGTAGCCATATTGCACTCGATTGTAGTAACTAAAACTAAAACATCATAGCGAATAACGCTTAAGTTAAAGGATTGGATACATAAGTATTTCTATGTCGCGTTTACAAGGTCGAAATGCACTTTTTCTTTCAAATAAAATACAATCCTTCATTTTGCAGCTTTGTCCGAATATTATAATTTCGTAATATTTTATGACAGTAAGATTTCTATACGCTTGCCATCTTACTAAACATCCAGATATTTAGACCATAAACGTCAGTTCAGGATTTTAGAATCACGAGTGAATATATAAGCATGTAATAATTTTTTTGTCTAAGAATTAGAAATTAACTCCGAAAGCATTTTAGCGTTAATTAATTGCTAACAGTAATCAAGCAATCATAACAATGCTAGATGTACATCACTTATTCTGCCGACAATATTTTTCGTACGAAAGTTTCTCTGCAAATATAAAACTCACAATTCGAAATACCACTCCGGATCGAGTGAAATTCTTGTGAAAGTAACGATGCACTTTCATACAAAAATTACGGAGAAGTCAATAATTAATGCCACTAACAATGTACTATTAAAGACCGACGATGGTTACAGGACCGAAGTTCGTTTGGTTGATGAAATTTGGAGGACTAGTTCACAATGTGATATTGATTTTATAATTTATCCTGATGTTTCATGGATGTATGTGTAACTATAATCTGATAAAAGAATTGAGAGAAATCAGATTTTTATTCAGAATTGCACTTCTATTGTTATCCACGATTATCCATACGGGTAATAACTACGGGATAGAAATGCAATCTTATTATATTATTACGTCGCAATAAAAATATTGTTTATGAAGCACATATATGTATAAATATATTGTTTCAATGCTGCAAGAACAGTATCAATGTCTGTACTTTCCAATTACGAAATTATCTTCCAAGTAATGGTTGTCTTTAATAGTATTTCGTCAGTATTAACGTAAAGCAATGGTCAATATTGTATCACTAAATCATGGCTAAACTTCACTGTACTCTTGATTTGCATCTGGATAATCGCCTAAATGTCCCAATATTGGCTGAAATATATTTGCAAATAATGACTTACTATACTTGAGGTATAGTTTTATATTAATATAGTTTTCATATTTTCCCAAGAAAATATACATATACTCGAAATCGTTACTCTCGTTACTCGCAAATATACTTTGCCGGACACCACTATTACGTGCCATCGAGAACCTTATTAATTGGCGAATGCACGCAGACACACTCCTCACGTGAAAGTAACATGCAAACATAATCCGAGATGTCATTGACATTATAATTAGTGCCTCTTTGTTAAAATTATGGAAGGTTACTAAGGTATAACGAAATAGAATTATTACATGTTCATCATCAAGGTCATTCATCAAGGTCGCAAAATTTTGCGATATAGTATGTGATACGCATCTCTTGCACAAATTTGGAACGAATACATTAATATATTCGTCACCATAATCGACTTATCAATTACAAGCATAAACGAAGCAAAACCAAACTTTGGATAATAACCGCCATCAATGTTCTAATGCGCGTTCTCACGCGCGTATCACGAGCAATCGCTCTATATCGTCCTGAACAAAGTTCACTGCGAAACGGAAATGGTGTGCAGCTGCTGCGGCGTCGCGAAGCGGATCGAACAGTACGCGAGACACCGTTGATTTAATCGGCGCATGATAAATCCACTGTAATCCAGGTCCTTAAGGAAACGATGAATGGCGCACAATCTTCACACTTCTTCGACGCAATCATATATTAAGTATACACAGCATGTATCATCTTCAAATGCCTTCTTTCTTTCGTTTCATTCCCTTTTATTTCTCCTTTCATTTCCCCATTCTTTCTTTCGCACGTTCTCCTCTACTTTTTCCTTCTCTCAATCTAGTATGATGTCAATACACCGGGCGGTGTCGGCACGACCACCGTGTGCTGCGGCACAACAGGCGGTGCCGGTGGTGCTAATGGATGTCCTACCAGGACTGCCGCCGCTGCCGGTATCGGTAGAACGCCGGATTGCGGTATAGCCGAGGGTGTGCTAACTTGTGTCGGCGGGCCTTCAGTCGCGTGTTTGCGCAAGTGTCGCAGCATGTTGCCCTTCTCGACAAAGGTCTTGCCGCAATCCGGGCAACTGTGCGGCCGCTCGTCTGAATGCGAGCGCCGGTGCGAGACCAAGTGTCCTTTGCACATGAAATCTTTGGGGCACAGGTCGCAGCGAAACGGCCTCTCGGCGTTGCTGCCCTTGTTGTGCGAGCGCATATGGAAGAGGAGATTGCCCTTCAGCGGGAAACTCTTGCCACATTCTGTGCACACGAATGGACGTTCACCAGTATGGCAACGCATATGATTCACGAGATGCTCCTGTAACAGAAAATTAAGAAAGGGACATGATGAATATTGTCTGGCAAGAGAGAGACTCGATGGATAGAGAGGCAGACTCAATTAAAAGGTTATATCTATGGTAGAGACCCTGTAATCAGAGACTGGCCATAAGAGTTAATCAAATTCCTGCGAGAGAGAAACATAGGCTATCTCACTCTTCTACGATCGTAACGATTGTAAAAGGGTGAGATAGCCTATGTTTCTCTCTCGCTCTGGCAGGAATTTAACGAACTCTTATGGCCAGTCTCTGATGACAGGTTCTCTAATCTATGGTAACGCGTTAAGAACAATACAAAGTTTTACGCGATATTATTACACGAAGAAATCTGAATGTTTTATTCGTTTTTATAAGACGAAATTGTCTTTCCCTATTTAATTAAACGACCAGATGTCTTAATAGAAAAATTAAGAAGCCAACGTACCTTTCTTGTGAATGGTTTGGAGCACACGTTGCAACAGTGTGAGGAATCTCCGGTATGTTGACGGAGATGATTATTTAGGTGTTCTTTCCTAGTGAACGTCCTCTGGCAAAACTCACACCTATGTGGAGATTCGCCAGTGTGGATGCGCACATGATTCGTCAAATGCTCCTTACGAGTAAATGACTTGGAGCAGAAGTGGCATCGGTGTGGCGATTCGCCTGTGTGTTGACGCACGTGATTGGTCAAATGTTCCTTCCGCGTGAAGGATTTGGTGCAATACTGGCACTTGTGCGGTGACTCACCCGTGTGCTGCCTGACGTGGTTCACCAGGTGATCCTTCCGCGTAAATGCTTTCGGACAGTAAGAACAGCGGAAGGGCGTCTCCCCTGTACATATTTTATAAGCGAATTCGCAAGGTTTGAGAAAAAAAAGTGTTTCCGTCATTCAGAACTCAGTGGAGTTAGCCTGCACAAGGCGAGTTTTGCCTGACGCAACGCAACAGAGAGGGCACAATATCGAACGGGATTGAGATCGGGGCAGAAATTTCCATAGCATCGACAAAGTAGAAGGTGAATCTACGCATCAACGTATAAAATTGATTGTCCAAGTTGATACATACGTTTCTAAAATTGGACAATGACGAGCATCCGTGGAGAAAACCAATCGAAAGTTGTGTTGCTTGGTCTCACCCTCTTTTAATAAATTAACGTATTTAATTGAATTGCTTAGAATTGCTAAATATATATATATGTATTGCAAAAACAATTCTATGGAGTTCTTTATTGTTACTCGGGGGAAAATTTCTGGGTTTTCAGATATTCGATATTGCCGTGTCCTTACGTTACATCGAAGGAAAGTCAGCTTGTACAGCAATATACTACAGTGTACTCCGATATAATATACTCTCTAATTTCGTATATCAAATACTGAAATGTTGTCACACTACCGTTACTTTAAGTTTGAAACTTTCTATCTCGCGATTATCAAAAAGCAAGTACGTGTCGATTCCTCTCTTGAATCGCACATCTAATCTAATTGACATTCTACATTAGCTATATTTCAACTAAAAAACGGAACTCGAGACTTGTGCCACCCACGACAGTGAAGACAAAGTTACAAAGCTATGGAATTATTTACAAGTCTCCGACAGTGTGAGATATAAAATTCGTTTGGCAACTTGTTTGGGGATGCGAAATGAGAGCTGTGAACACTTAAAAAATGAACTGTTCAAGTACTGTTAATAGGAAAGACGTGGCAATGAGAGCGGTGTATTAGGCAGAACTGTAGCAAATGTCCCTGGGAGATTCGGTGATGATGGAGTTTTTGCGATGATCGGTTAGGTGTGTAAAACGCGCGATGGTGTAAAACGATAAGTGACGATAAGAGCGAACTGAATGGGCGGGCGAAACTTTATGGCGATCCCGTCTAAATGAAAATCAATTCCCATGCAAGTGTCCGATGCAAGTGATCCTCGGCTGAACGCGTCAACGTACAGGGTGTCCCACTTCTCGCGGATCAATCGTTTAACGATGGAATCTTTCAAATTGCGACAACAGTTCTGATATTCAAGTAAACGTCTCGAGACGTGAGCTTTAAACTGGCGAATGAGAATGAAGAACGTGTTCCGAGATGCAAGCCTTGGAATCTCAAATATATATTCCAGCATTAGGCAATAAAGTCCTAGCAAATTTGTTTACTGTGTTTTGAATAAAGGAAGATTTCCTGTAGCCAGTTGTGTCGGATCAACCTTACTGTTAATTAAGCACTGGCGATATAATACTTGAAACTCTGTTCAAATATATAATTTCACTTGTATTGTATCCAGATATTAATTCGTTTAATTTTACATAGAACCAGTACTGTGCGATCTCAGGGTGTCAAGCAAACTCAATAAAAAAAATTCCCTGACTTTTTCAGGTTTTCCCTGACCGTTTAGTGTAAGAGAACAACTTAATTAGATGATACTGTTTAGTAGTTCATCTTTTTTTTATAGTTTTGTCTCAGTTGAACACATGAAATAAAATAACACGACGATGAAAATATAAATTACCGACCACGCTTATAAATAAATTGATGTTTAGCAAAACAGAAAATTAGTGTAGTGAGAGAGCCAAAGGAAAGTTTATTTTCTAAAAACTTTAAATTATTCAGAAAAAATACGTTAAACGATGTACAAAATCCAGATAAATCGAAAAAATTTCTCGACTTTACCCTGACATTTCCAGATTTCTAAAATTCCCTGACAATTCCCGGTTTTCCAGATTTCCCTGACCACTGGACACCATAAATCTACATTCACGTGTAATTTTCGTCAAAGGGGAAAATCGGTGCCAAGAGCTCCCCAAAGATCGCGTCGTGTTAAAGCCGTGACTCCAGTGGAAGTAAAATAGCCCGTGTGTGTAAAGCACCAGATGTGTGAAACCGGAAGCGTGTGGAGAGATGCGTGTCTTGACTCCCGTTCGATCGAACCACCTAAATGCACTGCCTGATGTTATACGAGGTGTGACTACCCTCATACAGTCCCCCCCTACGATATCGATTTCTTAGCCTCTAGAGAAAGGGGGAAAAAAAATAAAAAATAAAAAAGGGGACAAAACGACGTCTGAATGTTCTTTTCTTTCTCAATGCATATATAAATATATAGATAAATATAAATAACGTCACGAAAACACAACTACTTTTAATAGAGATACTCTTAACAACGATTATATCGGTTGCCCGTGAAGTGAACATCTGCCAACCGCTCTCACCTGTGTGTTGGCGGATGTGGTTAACAAGGTGTTCCTTTCTGGTGAACGATTTGGAGCAGAAGCCGCATCGGTGTGGAGACTCACCCGTGTGCTGGCGAACGTGGTTCAGGAGATGTTCCTTTCGCGTGAACGTCTTCGAGCAGAAGTCACAGCGGTGCGGCGTCTCGCCCGTGTGCCACATTATGTGGTTCGTGAAGTGCTCCTTCCTCGTAAACGACTTACCTGCATACGGCAGCGTTAAACAGAAAGCAAAGCACCGAGAACAGGCGCGTTTCATTAGATTGCAATGCCAGTCGCGGGGGAGGGGGAGGTGGGGAAATATTTTTATAGGACGCGTTGCAAATCGCGTGATTGGGACGATTCCAAGATACGAGGGGGTTGTGCAATCAATTAATAATAATGAATCACGCGCGAGCCGCGTTCTAGGTGATTTTCGCCAAATCACGTCGATGTCTTTCGAAAGGAAACATCGCTTAAAATTACAAGTACATTGCGATAGAGCACTGAGATTGTGTCTCGAGTTTCAAGACACTTGAGACTTTCCAAGGAAGCTTTTCCAGTTGACGCAGTGAATTATTTCATCTTTGTTTAACATTCGGCAATGGATGAAAACGCTCGTTCTCGCTGGAAAATGCCGCGAATTTCAGCCGCGCGAGATCCGCGGATTCCGGAAGCTTCATCCGGAAAGAACGATTTTCCCTCGAGTATCTAAAAACTTTGCTGCAGATTTCAAAATAATTATGCAGAACACTCGAAGAGGTTCTTAAGATTACAAATTTCCTTGCGACATTATTATTGACCGTACCACTACAATTATTTTCAGATCTGTACGCAGCTATACAAGTCTCTGGAGACACTTGTGCCCGCTTTCACAAACGTCGTCTAACTTCGATCTTGGCTTTAATTCATCCTTTGTCTCCCTCTCTGCCGCCTTAGGCCCGGTTTCACCAACGTCGTTTAACTTTAAGCTCAGCTTAATTCGTTCTTCGTCTCTTTCCAACCGTTACTTTAGAAAAAGACACAAACGTGAATTAAACCAAGATTAAAGTTAAGCGCGGTTTGGCGAAACCGGGCCTCAGAAAGGGGCGAAGGATGATCACGAGGCACGGTATTGTCTCGCGTCAAGTATAAAGGTG